CTTTGCGTTGGGAAAGTTGCAGCTCGCAAATGTGTCGCAATTTCAATGTTATCAGTCAATTTTTGTCATTTTTTTTAGAAAGTCATGTCTTCTTTTAAAAATTTCTCTCCTCTCTTTTTCATATTTCTCTTTCTCCGTCTCTTTCTTGCTCTATCTTTCTCTCTCTTTCTTTATATACGCCTTTATTTCTAATTCAACATTTCTCAACCGTCACAAGCCTGCCAAAGTAATTTCATCTGATGTAGCTAGAGATAGAGAGAAAGAGAGAGAAAAGAAAGAAAGAAAGAGAGAGAGAGAGAGAGAGAGAGAGAGAGAGAGAGATTTAATTGAAAACTCGATATTACAATGTAATTGCAGTTGCAAAGTATATGGGAGCGATTAACCAGTCTAATGTGAACAATTAAAAAGATGGCGTGTGCTGTTGTATGCGTGTGCACAACACCGCAATATCCACACATACGCCACACCACACCGCAATATCCACACATACGCCACACCACACCGTAATATCCACACATACGCCACACCACACCGCAATATCCACACTTACGCGCATTTAAACATAGACATCACATATCATATACACTTATTGCCTGGTACGTTATCCTACTTTGTATACAAACATGCGTACAACTGCATTCAAACAAACACATAAACATGCACAAACACACGCATGTAGAGAGCATACACCAGCTGAAACGCGCTCAAAAGATACTAAATAACGCCAAGACTAACGATTGTTTTGTTTTTATAGGGGAGCGATGGGAAATTAATGATGACTATAACGCTGACCAATAACGTTAATGATGGGTCTGTCAGTCTGAATGTGCCTCTCTCCAGATGGATGTGAGTACGTGTGCGTGTGTATGTATGCGTTTGTTTGTTTGATTGTGTGAGCTTTTGTGTTGTCTGCACATGTGCTTGTTTGTTTGTGTGTATGCGTCTGTTTGCATTTGTATGAGTGGATTTGATTTTTTATTTCATTACTTTTATTTAAAGGAGGGCCAAAATAAGCTAGCAATGTAACTAACTTGTGGACTACGATATGAAGTAAGTAAAAAAAATTTAAACAAAACCAGGAAATAAAGACAAGTTTGAACATCAGGCTTATAATGTGGTGTCAGTATCTAAAATAAAACGCATATTTGCGAATTTTTTCTTAAATAAACACAACTTATTCAAATTTGATTTATATACGAGGGCAAATTTAGAACACATTGGAGGGCCCGCATGTTTTAAACTGGATGAAATTAATATTAGTTTGTATATACTGGTTTGTATATAATATACATATATACACACACAAACATACAAACTTTTCTGGCAGAAAATACGAAACCATAATTTTTTCATTTTTAAAGATGTTTGTGGTCAAATATTAGAAGCACTTAGACTGGATCGAGGTACTTTTATTTCAATGTTAATCAATTACCAATAAAAAAAAGCATTATAACAAAAATTTATATATATATATATGCGTGTGCGTGTGTTTGCTTGTCTGTGTCTGTGTGTGTGTTTGTGTCTGTGTGTGTGTAGGTGTTTACACACACGAATATTTATACATTAATATTAATTTACATTTTATCTTTCTCTCAATTTGGAAAGATACAATACAATACTAGTAAATAAAAATGAAAAAACATACTTAAAAACACAAACTACTTTTAATATACATATATGTGTTATATATATATATATATATGTATGTAAATATATTCATATATATATATATATATATATATATATATATATATATATATACATTGTATATAATTAACGAGATCACGTGCGCAAGGTTTTTAAGCATTAAAGTTTATAATTGATTCATAAATTACTTTCATTCATTCATTCATTCATTCATTCATTCATTCATTCATTCATTCATCCATTCATTCATAAATCATCCATTCATTCGTTCGTTCATTCATTCATTCATACAATTCATTCATACAATCATTCTTATATCTAGCTATATTTAAAATTCTATGATTGTTACTTTTTTATTTGCAAACACGGATCGACCAATCAAAGTGTTTCCCCAACGTCATCATCATCATCATCACCACCACCATCATCATCACCACCATCACCATTATCATCATCGCCATCATCATCCCCATCATCACAAAAGTGACCAATCTGACCAATCAAAGTTTTCTCCCATCATCATCTTCATCATCATCGTTATTATTATTATATTATTGTCATGATCATCATGATTATAATCCTCAATTTTATCACCATTATCATTACTATAACCTATCATCTTTATCCTAAGCCCATAACAGAATTTCTAGAATGAAAATATAGATAATAAAATGATGATGATGATAATAATAATAATAATCACGGCTTTTATTTTTATTATTATCATTTGATAGGTTATTTATTATTGGATGAACAATAAAATAATATAATAATATATATATACTAAAGCAAATTTCATACAAGTCCTATCACCTATTCGCTTTTAATTAACTTATTAATTTAATTAATCCTAATTAAATAAATGAGTCTGGTGAAAACACTAATTAAAATTTAATTTACAACAATTTTATTCATTAATCAACAAATTAATTTAGTTTATAAGAGGAGAGGAATTCGTATTATATGAAAAAAAACAACAATAAGAAAATGACAAACGGAGAAACAACACTAACAAGAAATATTGAATGTAAAAATGTAAAGCTTTCTTCAGCGAACAGAAATATTTCTCATTAAATAAACATAAATAATTTAATAATAATAATAATAAAATAGTATTAGTAGTGAAATAATTATCTTTTAATAATTAATTCAATTATTATTATTAATAAAAATTAATGTTATTGTTATATGATGTTGTTGTTGGTTTTTGTATGCAAAATTAGCTTTCGATCGAGGTTAACATTGTTGCTAGTAGAGTTGTTGTTATTGTAGTTGTTGCTGTTGTTGTTGACAATGTTGTTGTTGTTGTTGACGTTTTTGTTGACGATGACGTCATTATTGTTGATGTTGTTGCTGTTGATGAGGTTATTGTTGGCGGTGGAGGCATTGTCAAATTGACTGCTTGAAAAGCTTTTGAACGAAGGAATATTGGAACTATTTAACCCAAAAGCATTCATAACATCCGATGTTTCCATCTTTGACGTCATCAGACGTGGTGAAGATGATGAAGCCGATGAAGTTGGCGTAGATGATGGAGATAATGATGTATGGAGAGTGTATAGACTGTGCGCTGTTGATTGGTTGGTGAGTTGCTGCTGCTGCTGCTGAAGAGGAGGATGTGGATAAGCCGGTGTGATGTTTTCGAGCAAAGATTTTTTGTAAAACTGACTTGTGTAAGATGATGTTGATGGTGGAAATAATGATGACGACGATGTGAGTGAGGATGACGGTGATGATGTCATCTGTGATGAGGATGACGTCGATGGCTTTGCCGTTGAAATTAGAGAATGACTGTCAAGTTGTTCAAAGTCAACATTATTATGCTGTTGTTGTTGTCGTTGTTGTTGTAAATAGTGAACTTTTTGTTGTAGCCATGATTGTTGTTGCAGTTGACAGGAAGGTAGCAGAGGTTGTTGTTGTTGTTGCTGCTGGAAGCTACAGTTTGCTCTGTCGTCACAGTTTTGTTGAACGACATCAACGTTATCACTGAATGGACTTTCACCGACGTTGCTGTTTAAACCGTTTTGTTGAAGATATTTGTTGACGACATCATTATTAGCACCGACGCTGCTGCTGCTGTTGTTGTTGTTGTGATTTATGATGTTGTTGTCTATGTTGTTGCTGGTGCTGTTGTTGTTGTAAAGATCTGTTGCTGCTGTCGTTGCTGCTGCTGTGTGCTGCTGCTGCTGCAAGAAATATGGATGTAGGAAGAAGGAGGAAGTGGGGTATTGAAACGAAGTTGAGGTTGGTGTGAAGGTGAAGTATGGGTGGTTTTGATAGGGTAGATAATAGGGGTGATGGGTGGATGAGTCGCTGTTGAAAGTGAAAGAATTTGTTGAGAGTCTCGTTGCGCAGCAGTTGTCGCCGTCGCCGTCTGCGATCGGTTGTGAGTAGAAATATGAATTGTTGCTGTTGTTGCTAATGTTGTCGGTAGACTGTTGATGCTGTTGTTGCTGTTGCGAATATTCTTGTTTGGAGTAATCAGATGAGTAAAGTTTAGAATAGAGAGATAGGTGTTGTTGATGTTTATGGTGTTGAGAGGAAGAGGAAGATGACGATATGGTTGATTCACTGGGTTCTGATTTTATCGGGAGGTTTTTAGTTTGCTTCGTGGGCGTTTTTGTGGATGTGGTGGTACGTTTGTCGCTGGAGCTGTTGTTTTGTTTGTTGTCGTAGTAGCAAGAAGATCTTGTAAATGAGCTGCTACTGTTGCTGTACGATGTTGTTGATGAGGTCGTTTCTGATTTCACTTTTTTGGTAGGTTTAACGCTGTCAGGAGATAGCTCATGTTTGTAGAGTTGCTGAAGTTGTTGAAGCTGCTGCTGCTGCTGCTGTTGTTGATGATAGTAATAAGCATAAAGAGATGATGTTGGTGACGACGATGATGTCGTTACTGGTAGGGTGGAAGAGTTTGGTTTGAAATTTGGATGAGCGTAAATGTCGTTGTTGTACGTGAGTGAATTGTTGCTGAATAAATTGTTGTTGGAGTCATTGTCACCATTGGTGATGTTACCATTGTCGTTGTTAATAGTACTGTTGAATAAATTATTCGCAGAGAGCATATCTGTAGAGTAATGTTGGTTGTGTTGATGGTCATTTTGACTGATAAACAAGTTTCCAGAGATTCCAGTGTTATCTTCGTCTTCGTCAACACTTGCTTCATCGTCGTCGTTGTCTTCTTCATCTTCCGAATGGTGTTGTTGCTGCTGCGTGCAGCTGTTTCGATCGTCACTGCCGCTAACGCTACTGCTGCTGTTGTTGTTGTCGTTGCTGTTACTATTGTTGTTGTTGTTGTTGCCACTCGATCCGTTTTTTGACATCGTTGACATTTTGTTATCGTCTTTATCTTTATGATCTTTTTTCTTGAAACGCCTCCTCCTTCTCAGGTAACTTCCGTTATCAAACATGTTGTAGCTGTCCGGGTCTAAAGTCCAGTAGCTACCTGCAGTGCGCGATGGAATCAATCAATCAATCAAGCAATCAATCAATCAAGCAATCAATCGGTCGATCGCTTAATTAGTTTTTAAGCGGTTTAATTTATAAAAAAATTAAATTTGTTTTGTGATATCAAAATAGAACTAAATAAATTTGGCGAAACCTTTCCCAGGCCTTTTATCATCTCGCGGAACTTTAACGAAGCACTCATTCAACGACAGATTATGTCTTATGGAGTTTTGCCAACCTTGTTTGTTCTCCCTGTAGTATGGATATCTGTTTCGAGATGATGATTTGTATAGGCATGTTATTGCAACGCATTAAGTATTATACGTATTAAGTATGCACTACACGCATGAAGTATGTATTTTTACAATGTACTGATATATATATATATATATATATATATATATATACACATATATGTATATATATAATTATTAATAATTATATATTATTATTAATAAATTGTTTTTCATTTTTAGTGATTTGTGTCAGTTTGCGTGTTAGTGGCAACAACAACAGCAACAACAACAGCAACAACAACTACAACAACAACTACAACAAAAAACCACATCCTCAACTACAACAACTACAGCAACAAAACTTAACAGCAACAACATCAACATCGAACGTTCTACTAACTTATCCATGATGTATTGGTAGATTCCGTTCAACGTGATTCTCCTATTAGGTTGGTTCATGATCGCCATGGCAATCAGAGCAATGTAGCTGTATGGGGGCTTGACCATTTCAGAGTTATGCCCCATAACGCCGCTGCTGCTTGCGCTGCCGTGGTAGCCAGCCACGTTGCTTCCAACGCAGTAGCTTACAGAAGAGTAAGGGTTCATACGAGCTGCGTATTGGTTGTAAGCAGCTGTTGCGTCGTAGCTGTAGCCCATGCAGGCTAGGCTGAAGTAGCTAGCTGGTTGCTGCTGTTGCTGATGCAAAAGGGTGTTGCTGTTGTTTCTGTAGCAGCTGTAGGAGTCGTCGTAGTAGCTGGTAGCTGCAATGACTGCTGCCGCCGAGGGAGTTAGCTGGTGGTTCGTGAGGTAGGGTGTTACAAGGGGCTGTTGTTGAGATAACATTTGTTGTTGTTGCTGCTGCTGCTGAATGATGCTGTTGTCGTTGTCGTTGTTGCTAGAAATGTTGTCGTTTTGTAATTGTAGGTTGTTGTTGTTGTTGTTGTTGTTGTTGTGATGTGAAGCGCCAGCGTATTGCATTTTTTTGTTGTTAGTTGATGTTGTGACTGTCGGAGGTGTCAATGATGTTCTTGGTTTAGAAATCGTTTCCACTTTGTTAACTATAATTCATCATCGTAAATACCATTTTTCTACTTTTTACGAAAAGACATTTATGATTCTAACAGCGTACTTCTCTTATTTATCATATATCAAAATAATTTTCCTACTAACAAAACAGCAACAAGTAAATTTTGAAGTAAAGCAACAAGACCATTAAATACTGTTATTGTAATATGTTATATTTGTTTTGATGATGTCAGTTTTATGGTAACATTAGTACTTCGAATATTTCAGCATTAATGTTATTGTCGTTATTGTAGTTATTGCCATCGACGTTGATGATGGTTACAATTATGACGTAACAGGAAGCACGTGATAATCTCTCATGCAATCTGACGATAATCAAAAAATGACGTCATTAATAAAATTGTTATTGATGTTACTTAATGTTAATGTTTTCTGAAAAATTTTAGCCAGCCTCTGATGAATGGGTGATGACAAAATTGCATCAACAACACTAGCAAAAACAACACAACAACAATAATAGCATCATCAACAACAACACTAACACCAATAACAACATTAGCAGCTACAACATCAACAACACTAACGACAACACCAACAACATTAACAAAAACACCAACGACAACAACAACAACATTAGCAGCAACAACACTAACAACAACATTAACCACAACAGCAACGATGGTGCTATGATCTGACTAACACAAATTCACCCGATAGCAAACATTGAAAGAAATATCCTCCAGTTTATTCAACAATCGATGATTTTTAATTAGCAAATCATACAATTTCCATCAATATTTGAGAAATGTGTTACCAGGGGCGCAAACAACTCGTACAAAGCTTTATTCAAACTTGAAGACAGTGAAGACAATATCGAAACGTATTTTGTTCGAAGGTCTGAATACATTGTTTTGTAATGTGATTTTGTATTTATAAACTTTATACCCATACCCTAAATACCCATTCCCACACCCATTTCATACACATGTGTACTACACACTCGCATACACACACGTACGTTTATATAGATATACACACGTATAAATAAATAAATACACACACACACACACACACACACACACACACATATATATATATATATATATATATATAAACGCATAAACACAGTACTTTTAAATGCAAGACAAACAAATATTAAGCACACGTTCACAATAAATTGCGGGCTTTTGAGAACTAACTTTCCGGAGGAGAGCTACAAAATTCCTACAACATAACATCAGAGTCCATAAAACACACGCATTTATGAACGGATATATAAACAAATTTCAAAAAATACAAGAAACATACGCACACATACTAGCGCACGTAACAACACACATACATACACACACCCATGAAAGAATCTGAAAACTCCAACATCTTCTTAACTTAACCATACATACAAGCACTTGCACACACACACACACACACACACACACACACACACATACAAACTCTCACACATACATACACATACACACATGAAAACATATGCGTACGTACACTCGAACACACACAAACAAAAAACACACACACACACACACACACATGCAAACACTTATCTCATTTGTACCGTCACAAGTGTGAAAAGATTAAAAGAGTTAATTCATATTCGCAACACAATCGATGATTATTGTTTATTTGTTTGCATGTTTGTGTGTGCGCGCGCGCGCGCGTGTGTGTGTGTGTGTGTGACTGTTTATGTGTTTGTATGTTTCTGTATGTTTGCTTTCTCGTATGTGTTATAAAAGGTTTAGTAAATTTCTTTATTTGCATATATGTTTGAGTTTGTTGGCAAATGCAAGCAGCGTATTGAAATGAAATGAGCATGCGTGTAGAACCATAGAGTCATCATTATAATTGTCTGCATCATCTTTATCATCAGCATCATTCGCCTTCTCATTACCATATCACATCAAATTATCATATCACATTACATTACATCATCACATCTTATTCCATTACATCACATTACATTATCACATTACATTACATTATCACATTAGCATCATCGTGAATATCATCATTGTCATTATCCACATTGCACTTATATAACAAAAACACTCACACGCTCTTTATGCTATTTTGTTTTATAAGCTGATGAAATATATATATATATATATATATATATATACATATAAATATACATATACCTATATACATACATCATTATATATATGTATATATATATATATATATATATATATATATATATATACTCATATAGTAATATACACACGTAAAAAAACGTACGCATACAAACAAGTGTACAAATTTAGACACAAAAACAAGCACGCACACATACGCACACATACACACACATACACACGCATACACACACATATATATTGTCATAATCATATATAAATATAATATAAATATATAATATATATAATGAACCACACGCAAAACTAAGCGGGGACGTAACACTCTACATTAAGTGTAGTGCGTCTGGACTAAGGGATAATTTTTTCCAGTTTTCAAAAAAAATAAGTGTAATGCCAATCTTTCCAATGTAAATTCATCCATGGAGATGGAAAAGATGATGATATAAAGGAGATTTTATATTGCAAAAGGCATAGAGGCTGGAGTTTGAAAGAACTTTTACGGCCTGATATATTCATATATCTATTTATCTATCTATCTGCCTTTTTTTCAATTTTATCCACATATCTATTTATCCATCTATCCTTTTTTTATTTTATCCATATATCTATTTATCCATCTTTTATTTTGCTATTTCATCCATCGGTCTTTCTATACATTAATGCATATATAATCCTTGATAGAAATACAGCTTATAGATTTAATAAACATGATTTCATATTATTTATTTATTTTATTTTATTTATTTATTTGAAGGATAACCAAAAAAGATAAACTTGTGGATAGGCAACCCTATTATATAAGCATTAATATAACGATGATCTTTATTATCATCATCATAAGATGGTTTCTTTTAAAGTTGTTTCAGTCATCATCGTTGTCATTAAACACCCACCAACCAGCCCACTGTTGCCTAGCTAGATGTCTTAGCATAGTCTTCATTCGTATCATTTTGTGTATTTTATATTGTGTATTTTTTTGTTTTTTATTTTTTGCACATTATGAACAAATTTTGTTTTATTAATTAGTTGAATTGATAATTGAACAGTAAAATTTTTGGTAGTTATGTTGCCGCACAAGCCCTGTGGGCTTCTGGTTTTACTTTAAATAAATAAATAAATAAATCTTTATCACACACAACACATGCACACACACACACACACACACACACACACACACACACACACACACATATATATATATATATATATATATATATATGTGTGTGTGTGTGTGTGTGCATATATGTGTATGTGTGTAAACCTTATCTTAACATATTATTGCACTTTTATAATCACATCAGATATGTATCCTTTTGACATCATTGATATATACACTGCATATATCTAATCTATATCATACAAAAGCAAAGTGATAACCGAAAGTATCATAACAATATCATAATGATTGATACCTAAACAAATGAGAATGTATCCGTTGCTATGAATTCAGAGTAAATTAAGTTATACCCATCAATGAAAAAATAAATTTTAACACATGCAAACAAATAAATTAAAATAAAGGTATATATTTCATATTGTACCTACACGTGTACAGAGAGAGAGAGAGAGAGAAGAGAGAGAGAGAGAGAGAGAGAGAGAGAGAGAGAGAGAGAAAGAGAAAAAGAGTGAGAGAGAGAAACAAAGAGATGGAAAGATGGAAAAAGATGAAAGAAAAAGAAAGAATGATAGAGAGAGGAAGAAAGAAAAGATGTAGGGAATGATAGAGAGGAATTACGTTTGAGCTGCGTAATTGCACGCACAAAGATGAACGTACATACTTACGCACGTACACACGCACGCACAAACAGAAACACACCGAAATGTTTACAATGATATAATCAATTCTATCTCTCATTCATTATGTACTATGAAATAGACAGATTTGTCTATTGACATGATGTGCGAATGATTGTTTATATGGATGGATGGAAGGATGTATTGGTTTACTGGATGAATGAATAAATGGATGAATGAATGAATGAATGAATGAATGCATGGATAAGTAATGGGAATGGATGGGTTGATTGATATAAATGAATGGATGAATGAATAAATAAATGGGTAAATGAATAAATAGATCAGTTGGTGCATAGAAAGATGACTGAATGAATAGATGAATGGATGGATGGATGAATGATTGGATGGATGGATGGATGAAATAATAAAGGAAATGCGTAAATAGGTGATGAATGATGAATAATAAGAGATGATGAAGAGATAAAGTGAGAGCATGTCTGATAGATGAACAAATGGATGAATGGAAAGTTAATGGATGTAAAAAATGTAAAATGAATGAATATGCAGATAACTATATATTCATATACATAAACACAGAATACGCACAAGCTTCCTTTTAAACATACATACAAATACACACACACACACAAAGAT